GTGTTTTCCAGGCATAGCGGTGGCACTGTGATTGGAACATTGCAAGATGTATGAATGTTTAACTTCTTTCGCATAGATAATCTAAACACAGCAACATCAAGCAGCAGTTTTGAATAAATTAGTTCGTAAATTTTTATGATTTTAAAGTGTGTAGTTCCAGTGGCTTCCTAATAGCGGAAGGAAGAGTGTTCCAGATGGTCGCTGAAGCAGCGCATCTGAAAACGCCGTGCGATGATGCGGTGACCACCATCTTTGTTCGATGGCCAGCCTAAAGCCGCCGCTGTGGGAATGAGTGGAGTTCACGTGATGATGGTTTATGCTCTTTGACAAGATCCACAGCGAGGTATTGTGGTTCATTGATGGCAAGCACATTGTGTGCAATGAGTGGGATAATCTTAAAATGACGCTGCGTTCGTTCAGCAGCCGGAAGCCAATGCAGCTCGGCGAGCACCGGACAGACGCGGTTTGGGATCTTGGAGTGCCCGTCACGACACACATCCCAGAGCTTTGGTTAATCTGTCCTGGTCATGCTTGACGTCAATGGCACGTGATGTTTGAACCCAGTCCTGCTGCACTAGTGACAAATTGGTATGTTCTGTTCACATGACAACCCTTACTAATTGCCTTGTCGGGTTTTAATGACGCATTTATTTACGCGCTCTAACCCAACGAAAAAAACTGTTATGGACGGTGTGGGATCTTGCAGTGCCCGTCACGACACGCGCCCGAGAATTTTGGTTAATTTGTGGCCTGAGCTGCTGTCCTGGTCACGCTTAACGTCAGTGGCACGTAATGTTGAGCCAGGTGCTGGGTCCTAGGAAGTGCATTGGCAAAGGGCTGTTAAGTTATTCCTGAATACTTGACAGGTTCGAGTTAATACGGTGTGTATGTGTTTGTGTATTCCCTCATAACTCACGAAATACGAGTATCAGTTGAAAATATAAGGCACATGATGATGATATTTTATTAAATAGCTTCTCATACACCTTGTAGGCACTAAGTACAATAAGATTATGACAATATCTTTATATACAATTGGATCTATTTGGAACCCTAATATCAAGACAATAATTATATCTCACATTATGCTTGTTTGTGCCAATATGACTGTATTGTACACAAGTCAATCTTCTGTTCTGCACAAGGCCAAGTAAGATTACAATCTATATTATTGGTTATTTCGGTATAAAGTCACATCGATAGAAACATAATAATAATAAAGTGAATAAAAATAATATAAATTAAATTAAAAAAATCTCAACAACAAAAAAACACTAACGTAGAATGTTGCCTGGTTCTTAATCGGAGTGAGTGTACTGGCAATCTCTAATGTGGACTGTAGCCTGACATTTACGCTGGTGAGCGTATTGGCAGTCTATAAAGTAGACTGTACTCTTTGGTTCTTTCGGTAAAGTCACGTAGGTACAAAATAAAATAAAAGCATGCTTTCCCACCTGATGACGGACGCTTGTGTTGCGCCCGAAACGTCGTGATTTATTTTATTTTTATACCTAAGTGACTTTACCGAAAGACCAACGAGTATGGATTACTGCAGTCACGAAAGCTTCAAATCAAGAATGTAGAATGTAGCAATGGTTATTAAAGTGAGTGAGCGTACTAACCTGACTACAAGAAAATCGTGCATGCATAATGTACATGAATAATTTACGTTGAATACCATATGAATAACCCAACCGGCAATGAAAACCCATTGTAATTTATATGCATTAATTAATCCCCCCGCCCCCACCTCTTCGCACAAGAGGGCTTATAGGTGACGTCATCACATCTATCCCTCTATTTAAGGAACGAACCAGGAGGATTTATACACAAATCTGGATCTCGCCTGATGAAGCTAGTTGTAATTACTGGCAAAACGTCGTACTCAGATTGTAAATATTGTGGACTTGCTCTCCAACACACCGGTGTGCTGTACTAGTAACGAATTGGCATGTTTTTTTTTTTACGTGACAAACCCCTTACTAATTCTCTGTCAGGTGGTGGCGGGTTTAAAGACACATTTTCTTCTTTCTTCTTTCTTGTTCGTCCATCAAAGTTGATGATGACCAAGGCACGTTTGTCATTATGTTGGGTTTTGATGAGTGCGCAGATGGCTGAAGAGGCCAATCCGAGCCCGGAATTCTCTGTGGCACACTGGACAGGTCAGGGAGGATGTAGCGCTCTGAGGTGCAGCCACACGTCCTTCCTTGGTAGATTTGCGCTGCTGCCTCTTCAAGATGGCACAGGAGCGTCTCCTACTCTCACAGAGGACTGCACCGTCCTGTACTTTTCTTCTCCAGGCAGGTCGGTCCTGTGCTAGGGATTCCCAGCTTTTAAGGTCGAATCCAAAGCTCTTCAAGGAAGCTTTCAGGGTGTCCTTGTAGCGCTTTTTGGGGCCACCTTGTGCTCGCTTGCCATTCCTCAGCTCGCCAAAGAAGAATGGTTTTGGAAGTCTCGCGTAGGGCATTCTGGTCACGTGGCCAGTCCATCTAAGCTGTTCCTTCGCAAGCAAGGTGTAAATGCTGGAGATATTTGCCTTGCTGAGGACTTCCGTGTCAGGGATTCTGTCTTGCCACTTGATCCTCAGCAGTTTCCTCAGACAGCTCAAGTGGAAATGATTCAATTTCTTGGCATGGCGCTGGTAAACTGTCCAGGCTTCGCACCCATACAGAAGAGTTGGTAAGACAACAGCCCGGTAGACCTTCAGTTTTGTCTCCTGCTTGATGCCAGTCCTTTCCCATACCGAGTCACGTAGACGTCCAAAGGCTGCACTGGCCTTAACAATCCTGATGTTAACTTCATCATCTATGTGCACAGCGCGAGACAGTGTACTACCAAGGTAAGTAAACTTGTCAACGGCTGAAAGCTTTTGCCCATTCACAAAGATGGTTGGCTGAGTGTAGGGTTTCCCAGGAGCAGGTTGGTATAGGACTTTAGTCTTCTTTGTGCTGATTGTTAGGCCGAAGTTGTTGCAGGCTGAGGAGAGGTGGTCCATACTGCCCTGTAGATCTTTATTTGAGTCAGCAGCCAGAGCACAGTCATCAGCAAACAAAAGTTCTCGAACAGTGATTTCCTCCACTCGAGTTGTGGCTTGCATCTTCCGCAGATTGAATAGCCCACCGTCAAAACGGTAGATGAAGTTAATCCCAGTGTTGTGGTTCTGGAATGAGTCTTGCAGCATGGCAGAAAACACCATGCTGAAGAGCGTTGGCGCTAAAACGCAGCCTTGCTTCACCCCGTTTGTGATTGGGAACGGACCAGAGAGTTCTTGCTGGTCTCTGACGCTGGCCATCATGCCATCATGGAGTTTGCGCACAATGCCAATGAACTTGTCTGGACACCCAAACTTGGCCATGATTTTCCATAGGCCCTCAGACACATAATTACGTGATATAACCCCAAAAACCCTATATTATGTACATACACATTGCCCATAGACTCAACACTGCCCATAGACTCACCGCTGCCCATAGACTCAACACTGCCCATAGACTCAACTCTGCCCATAGACTCAACAATGCACCTGCGATGAGCACAGTTGTCTACGTACAGTCGGAAAGACGAACAGTGAGGGAAAAAAAGTTATCAGTCTATCATTTTAATGGTAGGTTTATTTGAACAGTGAGAGACAGAATAACAACAACAAAATCCCAAAAACGCATGTCAAAAAATGTATACATTGATTTGCATTTTAATGAGAGAAATAAGTATTTGACCTATCTGCAAAACATGACTTAGTACTTGGTGGCAAAACCCTTGTTGGCAATCACAGAGGTCAGACGTTTCTTGTAGTTGGCCACCAGGTTGGTACATATCTCAGGAGGGGTTTTGTCCCACTCCTCTTTGCAGATCTCCAAGTCATTAAGGTTTCGAGGCTGACGTTTGGCAACTCGAACCTCCCTCTACAGATCTTCTATGGGATTAAGGTCTGGAGACTGGCTAGGCCACTCCAGGACCTTAATGTGTTTCTTCTTGAGCGACTCCTTTGTTGCCTTGGCCGTGTGTTTTGGGTCATTGCCATGCTGGAATACCCATCCACGACCCATTTTCAATGCCCTGGTTGAAGGAAGGAGGTTCTCACCCAATATTTGACGGTACATGGCCCCGTCCATCGTCCCTTTGATGCGGTGAAGTTGTCCTGTCCCCTTAGCAAAAAAACACTCCCAAAGCATAATGTTTCCACCTCCATGTTTGACGGTGGGGATGGTGTTCTTGGGGTCATAGGCAGCATTACTCCTCCTCCAAACACGGCGAGTTGAATTGATGCCAAAGAGCTAAATTTTGGTCTCATCTGACCACAACACTTTCACCCAGTTGTCCTCCGAATCCTTCAGATGTTCATTGGCAAACTTCAGACGGGCATGTATATGTGCTTTCTTGAGCAGGGGGACCTTGCTGGCGCTGCATGTTTTCAGTCCTTCACGGCGTAGTGTGTTACCAACTGTTTTCTTGGTGACTATGGTCCCAGGTGCCTTGAGATCATTTGCAACATCCTCCCGTGTAGTTCTGGGCTGATTCCTCACCGTTCTCATGATGATTGCAACTCCACGAGGTGAGATCTTGCATGGAGCCCCAGGCCGAAGGAGATTGACAGTTATTTTGTGTTTCTTCCATTTGCGAATAATCACACCAAATGTTGTCACCTTCTCACCAAGCTGCTTGGCAATGATCTTGTAGCCCATTCCAGCCTTGTGTAGGTCTGCAATCTTGTCCTTGACATCCTTGGAGAGCTCTTTGGTCTTGGCCATGGTGGAGAGTTTGGAATCTGATTGATTTATTGCTTCTGTGAACAGGTGTCTTTTATACAGGTAACAAGCTGAGATTAGGAGCATTCCCTTTAAGAGTGTGCTCCTAATCTCAGCTCGTTACTTGTATAAAAGACACCTGGGAGCCAGAAATCTTTCTGATTGAGAGGGGGTCAAAAACTTATTTCACTCATTAAAATGCAAATCAATTTATAACATTTTTGGCTAGCGTTTTTCTGGATTTTGTTGTTGTTATTCTGTCTCTCACTGTTAAAATAAACCTACCATTAAAATTATAGACTGACCATTTCTTTGTCCGTGGGCAAACGTACAAAATCAGCAGGGGATCAAATACTTTTTTCCCTCACTGTACATCGTACGTGCGTGAAACCTCCCCATCAACCAACAGCCAACGATGGAGCGAGAGACTTGGGGCTGAATTATTGGCACGTGGTAATTTCCCCTTAGGAGGGATTCAATTAATTATTCATAATATTATTATTATTAAACTTCACAAGTCAGTTTAACACGGAGTCTTTCGCGACCAATAGTATCCATTATATAGGGTTTTTGGGTTAGATCGCGTAAATATAAATGTGTCGTTATATCTGGCACCACCGGACACAGCCAAAGTCGTCCTGTGAGACTCAATTTATGATTTCTATCCTGGTGAGGTTCTTCAAATCGTGGGGCCGAGTGGCGGAGAGGTGGCTCCACGTGCAGCCTTGCGATCTCTCTCCAGGTGGTCGTAGACGATCTCCCTTTGGCGCAGCTCCTCGTACTGAGTCAATCGGAAACATCGCCCCACCCTGGTCAGTGACAGCCGTTAGGGAACCTGCCGATTTCAAAATAGCCCACAAACAGACACCACCTTGTTGGGAAAACTCCAACGCAGAAGATCGTCTGGGGTTTGGTCTTCCACGAAGCTGTTCATGGTCCACCCTCAACCGCATCCACTGCACAAACCAGGGCAGTGAATGCGGGTACCTGGTCATTCACAAAAGGAAATTAAAAACTCTCCAGTAGTAGTGGTGTGACTGTGGTCATCCAGAACAGAGACTGTACAATGTGTAATGATGCAACGCCCAGATTAACAAATATAAAGGAGACATCACCGCGATGATCCACGACTCTGTTTGCTCCTGACATCTGTGATTGACCACCTGAATGCGCAATTGTAGACATTGCTCTGCATCTACATCAGCACCCATACGACAACAAGTAGACAGAGACCCATAAACTCATCACCGCACAGCGACACATATACTCATCACAACACAGAGACCCAAAAACTCATCACCACACAGAGACCCATAGCCTCATCACCACACAGAGACCCAAAAACTCATCACCACACAGAGACCCATAGCCTCATCACCACACAGAGACCCATAGACTCATCACCACACGGAGACCCATAGACTCGTCATCACACAGAAACCCATAGGCGCTGCACACTAACAGCTCTCCTTCTCTCCCATATAAACAATACACCCACACATTACGGGTTACAGGACGGGTGGAAGATCCGGTCTTCATCCCTTCAAATGCTGAGCGCACGTGGACACCTCCTCAACTTCACCATATACACGTTCTATGGACCGAGTCTTTGAGCTGCAGTGAACCGATGATGATGATACCCATGAGACGTACTTACGATTGATATATGACTGTTGTTCACAATTGCACCCAATACACAATAAAACCCCAACGTGGTTGCACGATGACGTCACAATATAGAGGTTGTTGTTGCTGTCCCAGGCCTACTGTAGTCCCGTGTCCACGTGGTGCTTGGTCGACAGCAATGGGGGGCACTCAGACCGCATGTTAGCAGTCGTCATTTAAGTTCATAAAGAGCTTCACGGCTCGAATCCAGAGGCCTCCTGGATTATTACAGAGGGTGCAATGACAGTAACAAAATCACTACAACTGCTACTACTACGACTGCTATGAATGTTGCTACTACTGCTGCTACCATAACTGCTGCTACTCCTACTACGTGCTGCCTGCTTCACAGTGGACGTTAAAGATTCCCCTGACGTCATTCAGTAAGAGTAGGTAATTGAATGCCAGCGTCAGGGTCCACATTTGGCACGAAAAAATGAAAATGGCACCGCATATTACCGAGCTGGCAGAGTATTATTATATATTGCAAACATCACTTCCTGCTGGCAGAGTAATTCACCAAGTAACTATTCCAAAGGAGAGTCTTCCGGTCTGTAGAGTCCTTCCAGGGTAAAACTAAATTAGCTCGAGCTTAACGTCATGCCAAATCGCACTCATGGCTCGAGCATTTAATCAATTTCTGTGCGTCATTTGGCATTCTGTTCATGCTATAAAACACACCAAATGTGTGATAAAAACAATAAGAATACCACTTTTCAAATTTTTGGAAGTTCTCGCCTCACTGATGCCAACTATTTCCAAATTAACTTTTACAATTTTTGTGACCATCTACACCTATTAAAATAACGACGTACCTTCATATTCATGGACGTCTCCAACGAGCTTCTTTACACGTGTAATACCGTTGACGACTCTTGACACCGGAGTTGGAGGCACACGGGTTTATTTCACAGCACAACAGTGGGCATATAACACTCGAGGGGGTATCGGCCCCCTCACCCGGCTAGCTGGGAATACACACGCTAGCTACCCTAGCCTGCCTCTTAGTCCTCCACTAACGGGCTAGGGGAGGCTATCTGGCCCGACACTGGTAAGTCGGGCCCGGTACCCGGAGTCCCAGACCTGCCCTGACAAGAGGACCGGCTCTGGCTCTCGGAACCACGCCGCTGGCTCGATCCTGTTCGGCCCTGATAAGGACGTCGAACTAGGGGAGTCCAGGGCTTCTAGCTAAGATGTCTTCAGTCTTCTCGTTAGCTTAACATTTCTCCCCGAGCCCTCTGACACATCCCCTTTTATACTCAACCCCCGCTGAGGGGTGGGGCCCCGGGCTGCCCGGTGCAGACGTCGTTGAGAGCACCCCCCCGTGCACTCACGTAGCCCCGCCCACTGTGTTTGTTTCCCATAAGCTGCCATGCATAACGGCTCTCTCTCTAACACCCCTACATCACTGTGTTTGTTTCCCATAAGCTGCCATGCATAACGGCTCTCTCTCTAACACCCCTACATCACCCCCCCCCCCCCCCCCCCGCATAGCTTGCAGCCGTCCCGGCTGCCAACATACAAAAAAACGACAATAAAAGCGCATTTACCCCCTGACCGCGCGTGTGCCTCACTATTTTTCAACAATAACAAGAACAACAACAAGAACACAACAAGAATGCAACAGCAAGAAGAGAAAACAACCCGACGCACCCCCCCCCCCCCCGAATAAAAACGAATTCCGTAAAACAGCATACATACGATTTGCAGGGAACCCACCACACACCCAACACATGGTGAGCCCAACGCATACGCATCCATTGAGCGGGGAACACACCATTCACAAAACACACAATGAACACAACCTACGTACACCTCTTCCGTCCTCACAACAGTCTGCGCATTTTAGCGCGCATCCTTGCAGCGGGCCCCTCACACGGGGTAACCCCGGGTGGCGGACCGTCCTGTGGCAACAGTCCGTCTTGGGGTGAGTCCTCATCCGACGCCGCGTGACCCTTGGCATCCCCAGGAGGGGTGATCGGGCGTGAGCCCGTCACTCCTGATGCACCTGGAAGTGGCACAGCCGGCAAGGCATTAGGTGAGAGCGACGGAGACGGACCCAGTGAGTCGGCCGACCCCCCACATGTTTGGCCACGCGTGTGTGAAGTGGGGATGTGTACTGCGACGAATGGTTTTAATCTAGAGGGGTGCACGAACCACCGCCGCTTTCCCCATTTGATACGCACGCACTGCGGTCGCAACACCTCAACTACCTCCACAGGGCCCCGCCACGGCCGCACCAGCTTAGAGGAGGTTGCTAATGGCACCTGGGGACAGTGCAGCCATGCCTTGTCCCCCGGCTTCCACTGCAGCATGTGCGCCCGACCCCATCTGAGTCGCTCGTTCGCTTTCTGACGGAGGTCAGAGTTTTGTATGGAAGCATCCCATGCCTCAGTCAATTTGGCCAAATTAAATTTCACATGGTCAGCCAATTTAGTTTTTCCCTGAGGCGCGGGGATCTGCAGCTGGGCACGAACAGGCGGTTCAGGTTCGCGGCCGTACATGAGGTAGAAGGGTGAAAATCCCGTAGCTGCGTGGGGGGCCATCCGGTACGCCGCCAATACCCCTTGAATTTGCAAGTCCCAATCGGTCTGTGAGTCCGACACCTGCTGTGACAACATTGACGTGATGGTCTGATGCAGACGCTCGACCATCCCGTCAGTCTGCGGGTGATACGGGGAGGTACGAATTTTCTTCGTGCCCAGGAGCTCACAGACTTCTTTGAGCAATTTACCGGAAAAAATTTTGTCCTGGTCGGTCAGCAGCCGCTCCGGAGCACCTTTGTCCAGGACATAACCCTGAACAAAGGCCTCCACGATGGCTGCTGCTGACTGGTTGGCAAGGGGCCAGGCCATAGGCCAGCGCGTGAAATACTCCACAACCCGTCAACAAATATCTATTGCCCCTGGGTGTGGTGGGGAATGGGCCCAAAATATCCAGCGCGACGAGTTCGTTAACTCTGGACACTTTGATTGACTGCAAGGGTGGGTTAAACACACGTGCTGGCGGTTTTCGTTGCGCGCACCGAGGGCATGACCCCAGTAAATCCCCGACATCCTTCGTCATGCCTGGCCAAAAAAAATCGAGTTGGAGTAAGGGGAGGGTCTTTTGGGTCCCCAGGTGTAGGAGGCGCTCATGTGCGGCCCACACCGCCTTGCCCCGCAACCCCGAAGGGACCACCAGCCGATGTCGATGGGATTTCCCGTCCAAATGCATCAGCAGACCATGCACCAATTCCCATGCGTCGGCATCACCCCTGCCCTGCCCAGCACAGCCGACGCGACGACGCAACCAGAGGAGGGAGGTATCCTCCATCTGGAGGCGCCCCCATTCATTGACGGGCAACCCCAACAGGGAATCTTTTCCCTGTTGTGCGATTGAATTAGGAACCAATGTTTCGTCGTCGCCGGCGGCCGCCAGGACCGGAACCGGTATGTCCCCTGCTGGCCTGCAACGTCCCGACCCCAGGAGGCATGCACATTCGGAGGTGGTTGGCATGCACGACAGAGCGTCCGCATTGGTGTGGCGAACGCCCTTACGGTAGGTGGTTTCAAAATCAAAATCCTGGAGGATCTCCTGGAGGCTGTTGAACTCGCAGGGCGTACTGCAGTGCCGCATGATCTGTGTGGACGGTGAAATGCCGACCGTACAGATATGGGCGATACTGTTGGATGAAATAGACAATTGCCAACAGTTCCCGACGGGTGACACAATATCTTTGCTCCGCCGGAGACAACACCCGACTGCCGTACGCAACCACCCGTTCCACGCCGTCAACCACCTGGGAAAGCACGCCCCCAATACCCGTGTTGCTCGCATCGGTGTCGAGCAAAAAAGGCTTAGAAAAATCGGGGTAAATCAAGGGAGGAGCTTTTACCAGGGCGTCCCGAAGGGAGCAGAAAGCAGCCTCCTCCTCCTGACCCCAGTGGAACCGAACCCCTTTTGATGTTAAAGCGTGTAGGGGTTTCGCAATCGTCGCAAAATCTGCGACGAACCGTCGGTAATACGACGCGAAGCCAATGAAACTCCTGACCTCTCCCACCGAGGTGGGAGTCGGCCAGGAGCTGACGCACTGCGTTTTGGCGGGATCGGTAGCAATACCTGAGCGCCCCACGATGTGTCCCAAATAACGCACCGAATCGCATAACAGATGACATTTTTGGGGTTTGAATTTCAAATTAGCAGCCCGCATCTTTAGGAAAACTGCCCGCAACCTCTGGAGATGTTCGTCAAAAGTTTTACTAAAGACGATAACGTCATCCAAATAAATCAGGCACGAATCCCATTGCAATCCAGCCAAAACCAATTCCATCAAACGCTGGAAAGTTGCCGGCGCTGAGTGGAGTCCCATCGGCAACCGGTTGAATTGGAACAGGCCGTGCGGTGTACGGAAAGCAGTTTTAGGCTTTGAATCATCGTCCAGAGGAAGCTGCCAGAATCCCGAAAGTAAATCCAATGTGGAGAAGAATCGCGCTCCCGCCAAGGCGTCCAGCGATTCGTCCATCCGTGGGAGCGGGTATGCGTCGGCAACTGAAATTTTGTTAAGGCACCGAAAATCAACGCAAAACCGCAACGAGCCGTCCTGCTTTTTAACCAGGACGATCGGCGCTCCCCAAGGGCTGGTGGAAGGAGAAATGATGTCAGGCGGCTAACATGTCATCAATAGCCGATTTGACATGGTCCTTTTCGGCGGGACTTAACCGAAACGGATTCTGGCGTATTGGCGCGCTGTCACCCGTATCAATATGGTGACGCAGCAGATGAGTGCAACCCAAATCGTATTTGTCCCGACTGAAAACGTCAGAAAATTCCCGCAGTAGCGTTTTAAGCTGTTGACGCTCTGAATTTGACAGGTCCGTCGATCCCGCACAAAGCACCTCGAGCCACCCTTCATCGCTGTCCGAATGTGGTCGCGGCGCAGGGACAGCACTCACGTGATTCGCGACGGGTTCCTCACAGGGCACCGGCGTCGCGTGAGCAAGCACGGTCCCCTGCGGGACCACCACCGTCTGCGAGCCCACATTGAGGACCGCGATGAAGGGGTCTCCGTCCCCTCTTACTATGGTCTGGGCCGGAAGTAAATGAGGTCCACTAACCCCGGCCCTAGATGGCTCCAGCAGAACCCCTTGGGCCCCAATGCCCTTAGCGAAGGGCTGCCGAAGTTTCAAAGGAACCAACATTTGTGCCCCCGGAGGAACGCGCACCGTTCTATCTACAAACGCCGGCACCGTCGCGAACGCCGTCCGAGTCGTAACTGGCGATGGCAGAAACGCCATGCGTCGGCCCGACGGGAGCTCAATGCATCCCTGGTCGATTAATATCCTAATCGGCATTTTGGCTAGGAAGTCCGTCCCCAGCAGGCACGGAACCGCCAGCGAGGAGGAAACAAAAATCGGCCCAGACATTTTAATATCCCCGATACAAATTTGGGCTCGAATCTGTCCGATGATGCCAAGTGAGCCCCCGTTAGCAGCAAAGAATGGTACGTTAACAGGCATCAAAGGACGGCTCTGGGCAGGGAGAATATTGTAAATTAACTCCGAAATAATGGTCGCCGATGCTCCTGTATCGACCAGGATGCGCACCTCGACCCCGTCGATGTGCCCCACAACGGCCGACGACCCCGACGACGCGGCTACAACACGATGGGCCAACACGGACCACTGGCTGGGTTCAATCTGAGTACCCAGAGTGGTGCGTGTTGGTGCGATGGTGCGCGATATTGGCCCCTCAATCGGTGCGGTGTATGAGTGTGTGGCGGGTGTGTGCGTGGGCCAAACATGTGAGGTGCCGCGACTCGCCGGGTTATGATGATGGAGCTTGGGAAGAGGGCCGGCGTCCCGTCGAGGTGTCGTCCCGCGCTGCCGAGGAGAGTGGCACCCTGAGGCGACATGGCCCCGGATGCCGCAGTTGTAGCAGCGCGGGAGCGCTGGTGACGACGACGGATGATCGGGATGGCTCGAGCCGCCCCGGTCCGCCCGTACTCCCGCTCCCTGCTGCCGTTGATGGTCGATGGCGCAGATCTCCTCTGCCGGGAGGGTGGCTGCGGCCATGGTACGCCCACTCGCCGCCTTGCTGGCCTTGCGTCGTTGCGCGAGCAGGTTTGCGTGGAGGAGTCGTGCCGCTTGGAGGGAGCACATCTCCGCGTCGTCCTGTGCGATGATGACGATCTCCAAGTCGTCCGCCAGCAGGAGTATCTTCTCCGTAACCATGACGTCGACACCTTCGTTGTCCATCCGTGGAAAGGCCGCCTTTGCCAGTGCCAGGAGGCTTGTGCGGTACGCCAGAGGCGACTCCTTTGCCCCCCGCTGGCGATCATAGAAGAGTTGGCGACAGTCTGACGGCGGACCGTAAACTGCAGCCAGCACCTGCATCGCCGTCTGCAGCGTAGAGCGCCTCTCCTTCGGTGCTGATGTTAAAGTGACGAGGGCGTCGCTGTCGAGGAGTGCTGGCAGCGCGCGGAGAGCCTCGGCGTCCATCCACTTCGCCATCTCCTGGTGAGCGAGGAAACGCCGCTGGAAGCCGCCCCAGTCGCTGATGTAGCGCAGCGGCTGCCGCAGAAGGTCGCCCTTCCTCGTTCCCCTCACCCGGCTCTGCTTCGGCGCGCACGACCGATGGCATCGCCGGTCGCAGCCGTGGTGACGTCCCGTCCGTTGGCGATGACGCGGCAGGTACTGTATGCCCGCCGTTGGACGCATTGCTTAGGCCGGCCACGCCCTCAACTGCAGCTGCGGTGATGGCGGGATTTTCAAATTGGTGTTCCGCCGAAATGGCGGGAAGGCGCTGTGGTCGTCGGCTTTCGTCGCCCCGTGGCGGTCCAGCAGCCCCCAGCTGAGTGATGTGGTCCAGCATGCTGGCAGCGGCGTGCAGCAGCTCCATCAGCTTGGCGTGCACCTGCCTCAGCCCCTCTGCCGACACCTCCCCACCCTCCTGTTGCTGCGGCGTAGCCGTATCTGGCCCCGACTGCTCCGTGCTCTCTTCACCCGTCCCGGGCTCTCCGACTGCAGCGGTGTCCTCCGCCCCCGGTATCCTGACTCGAGCTGTCCGGCGCGTGTCCATGTTCGTAGATTTTTACTTCTGACACCAGATGTAATACCGTTGACGACTCTTGACGCCGGAGTTGGAGGCACACGGGTTTATTTCACAGCACAACAGTGGGCATATAACACTCGAGGGGGTATCGGCCCCCTCACCCAGCTAGCTGGGAATACACACGCTAGCTACCCTAGCCTGCCTCTTAGTCCTCCACTAACGGGCTAGGGGAGGCTATCTGGCCCGACACTGGTAAGTCGGGCCCGGTACCCAGAGTCCCAGACCTGCTCTGACAAGAGCACCGGCTCTGGCTCTCGGAACCACGCCGCTGGCTCGATCCTGTTCGGCCCTGATAAGGACGTCGAACTAGGGGAGTCCAGGGCTTCTAGCTAAGATGTCTTCAGTCTTCTCGTTAGCTTAACATTTCTCCCCGAGCCCTCTGACACATCCCCTTTTATACTCAACCCCCGCTGAGGGGTGGGGCCCCGGGCTGCCCGGTGCGGACGTCGTTGAGAGCACCCCCCCGTGCACTCACGTAGCCCCGCCCACTGTGTTTGTTTCCCATAAGCTGCCATGCATAACGGCTCTCTCTCTAACATCCCTACATCACTGTGTTTGTTTCCCATAAGCTGCCATGCATAACGGCTCTCTCTCTAAGACCCCTACACACGTACACTCCACTATACACTACAATGCACACTACACAACACACACGACTATACACTGCACCACTGTACTAAATTGAAAACTAATTTCTTTAGAATTAATTCTTGTTGTTGTGTTTAGTTTGTTGTCCTTCCCCCGAACCTAAGATTAGCGCGCATGGCTATGTATGGTGTGAAATAAGTTTAGTAGGCATTCAGCATCGAGCAGGCGCCACCTTATTCTTCAACCAGATTGTGATTGCGTTGTCATCACAAAGTCTCAACCAGACTGGCATTGTGTCGTCATTACAGTGTCAACCAGACTGTAATTGTGTCGTCATCACAAAGTGTCTAACAGCCTACGTGTTAAACAGACTCACCTCGTTTTCAGGAGGAGAGACGTCGTGGGTGGATGTCCGTCCTTTGCCTGCTTCACACAGAACACAATCACAGATTGTACTGGCACCACAGAGACAAAGATCCCACGTGTAGCCTTCACAAACTGTTGGGACAAGTGCTGTTAGTGAATACCTATCGAGGCTGGCAAGATACACGAGGGGGTGGGTGGCCAGCATCACGCCCGGCCACCTTGGTCTCCCCAGTAGCGATGTTTACATTTTAGAGTTCAGATTATCGTCACTGGTATGTTGGCCGTGAGCAGGAATCGAACTTGGGTCGCCGGTTTCATAGCGCAGCATAGCACTGACCACTACACACATACACACACCCACATTCAGCCCAGGAATAAAAGAACGCGACTCAGACACACTTTCGTCAAAGTGATCCTTGGACACATTTCTATTGAAGCGACTGATCGGGCTCAACATTTTTTTTATTCAGCGCCTTAATTGGGGAAACCAATGCTTTCACTGGGTAAATCATTCCAGTGGCTGCCTCAGAGCATCATCATTCGCACCTCAAGCGCGGTTTGTTTTGTGTCAGTGTTAAAATGAGAAGTTCTAACCGACGCAAGAGACGTTAAAATAACCCATTCCGAAGCTATCAACAGAATGTGTGTACAGGATTAACTGCACGTGTGGAAAATGTTATGTTGGGCAAACAGGACGAATGATCAGCACGAGACTAAAATAACATCAGAGAAATATTAAATACTCCCAAATACAACTGTCAGCTGTAGCAGAACACGCACGCCAACAGGGACACTCAATTGATTTTGATAATGTTGAAGTTCTGTGCAAAACTAGCTACTACTGGCCAAGAATAATCAGATTATCTATCGAAATTTAAATAAATAAAATTTTACCGTTCGGATAGCTATCCGCCTTAGTGCTACATGAAAGCGAATCATCAAATAATCCGTTATTTAAATACATGCTTATGAACGGCACCATACTTCAATAGGGATTGCCGTTGGTACGGCTATTTTAATACACACAATAGACAGGAAAGACAAGATCAAAGGGCTCGCATAATGTGCATGCATAATGTACGTTGACTCATTAATCCACCCCGCCCCCCCCCCCCCACTTTGCGCAAGAGTGCAGAAGTGTGGTAACCACATCTATGCCTCTATGTAAGGAACGAAACAGGTGGACTTCACAAATCTGGCTGTCGCCTGATGAGGCTAGTTGTAAATACTGGCGAAACGTCATACTCAGATTGGAAATCTTGTGGCCTGGCTCTCCAACACACCGTTGTGCTGCACTAGTGACAAATTGGTATGTTCTGTTCACGTGACAACCCTTACTAATTGCCTTGTCGGGTGGTGTCGGGTTTTAATGACGCATTTATTTACGCGATCTAACCCAACGAAAAAAACTGTTATGGACGGTGTGGGATCTTGCAGTGCCCGTCACGACACGCGCCCGAGAATTTTGGTTAATTTGTGGCCTGAGCTGCTGTCCTGGTCATGCTTGACGTCAGTGGCACGTGATGTTGAGCCAGGTGCTGGGTCCTAGGAAGTGCATTGGCAAAGGGCTGTTAAGTTATTCCTGAATGTTTATGGCAGGTTCGAGTCAATTAGTGCTAAAGTGACAGCTGAGCGACGGTAGCGTGGCCTACGTTACATTTTTCCCGTCTCCGAATTATGACGATATCATTTGTGCACTTTGGCACGGTATTCACCAACTTCAAATGTTTTTAAGTAATAGGGACAATATGTAAATGGGTGTTGAGTGATTTATATATGATGAATTTATATCAAGTCGGATGAATGTCATTTTTGTATCGGTGAATAAATTAAGAACCGTACGTTTGATTTCAGAATTTATTTTCTGCCTTTCGCTCCTTATCAGCCTCTGATAAAGAAATGTTAACTACCTCGTCTGGTATACAGGAGGTCGTGGGTTTGATCCCGACCCAACGCGACGGTGGCCAGATGTTAACTCCCTCGCCTGGTATACAGGAGGTCGTGGGTTTGACCCTGACGATGCCTGCTGCTGCATATTTGGAGTCTGCGTTATCTCTGCACTTCTGAGAGGACCCCTTCCCGTCCTCGCCCCACCCCCTCCCCTCCTCCCCTCCCACCTCACCCCTTCCTCCCCCCCTCCTCCCAACCCCTCTCCTCCTCCTCACACCCCTTCCCCTCCTCCCCCCACCCCCTTCTCTCCGCCCCTAAACCCTCCCCTCCTCTCCCTACCCCCTCCGCTCCCGCCACCGCCAACCCTCCTCTTTTCCCACCCACCCCTTTTTCCACCCCCTCCTCCCACACCCTCCCTTCCATCCCCACCTTTTCATGACATCGTCACTGTTCCACTCACGTCTGAAATGGCAAATGAGGAGGACGATCACCACGACCGCCACCACCACCACCACCACCGCCACCACCACGACCTCCAGCAGCATCACCGCCGTGACATGAGCAGCAGCAGCGCCGGAGATCACGTGACATGACGCGTTTGTCGTCATTTCTACAACGGCACGGACGCGAATAATCTCACCGCGGTCAGGACACCATTCAGGTTGCTCTGCTGCGTGAAGCAGTGGGCAGTGCCTGCAGATGTTGAAGCATGTGTCCGGTGACTCCAAGTGGCTCCCAGTGCTCACCCCCACATCGCACCACCGAAAAATCTGTAGTGAAGCAGCGGCCCTCCGGGAGTGCCAAAAACATTCTCAACCCCTCAGAACCTTCCAATACGTCGGAGACATAAACCCAATGCCGACTGTTCACGCATAAGATCATGCCCACACCCCCTTCTGGATGACAGCAGAAGCAGCCTCACTCCACGCCACAAATACAAATAAAAGCGAGAGATGGAAGCGAGAGTCAAGGCCTGCGGCCGATGTCTAAAATCAACATTTCGTACGGGGGGATCCCTACCGTCGAACCTCCCCGGTTTCAACCTTCCAAACCGCCAATGGTCGGCCATCAACCGAATTAGGACCGGTGGCCGATGCGGCCACCCGATGCCACAAATGGCGAATCAACGATTTGGCGGCCTGCGAATGTGCGGCCACCAATTCCAAACCATCGACCAGCATCGTAAACTCTCCACTAACGCTGCCGCTGCTGCTGTTGTCATCTTCACTCCTTTAAAGGAGAAATGGACGAAATCCATTCTGCTTCTGAACAGACAATTGAGTTGAGAACAACATCTAAATATTGCATCTTTAATCCGCTGCTATCAATTCATATGAAAGAAGAACTGTGTCCGGTAAATGATGAATTTCGATTAAAACGTATAGAAAGAAGGCTATGGTAACAGAAAATTGATCTCACTGTTCTTGCACGCAATAACCTATTGTGACTTTAAATTACTTTGGTAAAAACAGTGAGTGGAGACCTCTGTACTCAAGTATGTCAACACGAGTTAAGATTATGTTTGCATCCTGTTCAATACACGACCAGGCTCATGTGTTGGCACGACGGCCGTTCCATTCCACGAGTATTTTGTATGAATCAGACCTCACGTTTTTCTGTGCAGCTCATTTTTCTATGTTTACTGTGACCTCAACAAACACCCACCCACCCCCGCCTCATTCCCCTCACAACCACATCAGACACGGTCGGTGGATTCAGAGAGACATCTGCATTTCGGAAAATACACACGGGGTTAAGGCCACAGTGGGTCTCAACCGGGGGTCTCACTCGGACCACCGGGCAGTTACATGGCAACGTGACCAGGTCTGTCCGACAAGGAAAGCCGTGAGGGCAAGTCCTGTTCAGGTGGAAGTGAAGATGTAATGGAAGAGGGAGGGCAGAGGAAAAAAATGCTCAAGAGTATTCGATAACTTCTGCCACCAGGTCAATTGTTACGAGGAGAAAAACACAGCACAACGAAGATATTGGTGGATGAAATTAAATCAAACCAAATGGGAAGGAGTCCACAGATGCTGAGTCCCAACCAAGAACACACCTGTTGGGGACCGTTCATCAGCAGTTTCCCAATTGTTCACACACGATGACGGCAAGCCAGAGGAGGAGGAGGAGCCGGCCATGCTCCTGCCCGAGAGCTCATACCTGGTCCCTGCCGCCATGCCTGCCGAGACGTGCTACGACGAGGACTGGGAGGTGTTCGACCCATACGCCTTCATCAAAAACTTGCTTCTGCTATCTGAGGAACAGCTGGTTTGCAAGTCGGCGCTTCCATTCAAGACGCGCAGTACCCCAGAATATTTGCTCGGCCTAAGTGAAACCCTGGTGCATTGCAGCCTCATTCATCTGGAGGAAGCAGCACTCACATTCTCTGTTCTCTTTCAGGATGTCAACTACCCGGTGTACATTCGCCTGCGTCCATAATGATGTTGGGAGTGTTTGGAGAGGATATCTAAAAAATTTGAGATCATTCTCTTCACTGCATCCATAAGAAGTGTATGCTGACAAACCGCTCAATGACGTCAACATCCTTGGGAGTGACCTCTCCAAGACCATCATCATTGCCAATGCTCCACAGGCGTTTTTCCTACCAGCTGCCCAATGGGATCCCCATTGTTACTCGTGGGGAAATAGCTTTCTCTGAACGCGTTTTTTCCGGGAAGGCATCTCCTGACAATCACGCGTCACTACAATGACTCGTTGCAGGCCTTGCAAAAGTGGGAGGATGATGCTGATGATGATAAAACTTCCGTTTCACGATGTGTTCCCACACATCCGACAATTTCACGCACCCACTGTAGGACCGTCGTCCTCGGTCGCTGTGGATGACACTGTATCTCCCGTGGTCTTGCCTACGAACGACAACAAGAACACGCAAAATTAAATGGCCGCATTACAACACTATACATTATGGGAACCTCATTTGCCAGTAAAAATATGATAATTGGTTCTTTACCCTTCTATCTGGCAACAAAACTGACACCTTTTTACAAGGAGTCATGTTTGCATAGACCGCAATACCTGCAGTCATAATACAAACAAAAGAACATAACTCTGATAATGTGCACTGTCCCTGAAGTTGATTGGCCCACACCCGAGACAGCTTTCCTTCGAGCCTAGTCTCATATGGGTTGGACCAGATGACGCCAAAAGGCGCACAACTCAAGGACAATGCACCATCAGAGTATGAGAGCTCGGGGCAAGCATCTACACTATGGGGACCTCATTTGCCAGTAAAAATATGATAATTGGTTCTTTACCCTTCTATCTGGCAACAAAACTGACACCTTTTTGCAAGGAGTCATGTTTGCATAGACCGCAATACCTGCAGTCATAAAACAAACAAAAGAACATAACTCTGATAATGTGCACTGTCCCTGAAGTTGATTGGTCCACACCCGAGACAGCTTTCCTTCGAGCCTAGTCTCATATGGGTTGGACCAGATGACGCCAAAAGGCGCACAACTCAAGGACAATGCACCATCAGAGTATGAGAGCTCGGGGCAAGCATCTACACTATGGGGACCTCATTTGCCAGTAAAAATATGATAATTGGTTCTTTACCCTTCTATCTGGCAACAAAACTGACACCTTTTTGCAAGGAGTCATGTTTGCATAGACCGCAATACCTGCAGTCATAATACAAACAAAAGAACATAACTCTGATAATGTGCACTGTCCTTAAAGTTGATTGGTCCACACCCGAGACAGCTTTCCTTCGAGCCTAGTCTCATATGGGTTGGACCAGATGACGCCAAAAGGCGCACTTTTGGCGTCATCTGGTCCAACCCATATGAGACTAGGCTCGAAGGAAAGCTGTCTCGGGTGTGGACCAATCAACTTTAAGGACAGTGCACATTATCAGAGTTATGTTCTTTTGTTTGTATTATGACTGCAGGTATTGCGGTCTATGCAAACATGACTCCTTGTAAAAAGGTGTCAGTTTTGTTGCCAGATAGAAGGGTAAAGAACCAATTAACACTATACATAACACTATACAATGCTATAGACTACACTATACAGCACACACTACAATACACTACTATATCGTACACTACACACTACACAGGACACGATACACTACTAAACACTACACTCTTATACTCAATTGCAAAATAAATTATTTACAAGTGCTTGTTGTTGTGTTTAGATTGTTGCCATTTCCCAGCACTACCGATTAGCATGGTTGGCTATGTACGGTGGTGCCAATGAAGTTCAACATATACACAAAACACTCCAATTCACAATAAATACTACACTATACACTACACTATACACTACGCTACACACTACACTATACACTGCTTTACACTACACTACTATATACTACACACTACGTGGACATTTTCAAATCCATCACCCCTCCTTCCTCCTCTCTGTCTCTCCCAGGATGCCGGTGAGATGGTGTAAACGACAGTGACTGTGGGTGGCAAGCAGACTGCCGGTTCTGACACTATACACTACACACTACACTATACGCGACTATACACTTGATTGCTTGCTTAAGGTAGTCTATCGCATCCTACGATGACTTCTTCTTGTGGGTTTTCTGATGGTTGTATATTTCGATGCGGAATGCACACAGTCTGCCACAGACAGAGCACACATATGCATGTCCCGTTGAGGTTGATACAGCCATGGTCACATTCTCCTCTGCCGCTTGATCAGGCGACGTTCGGCCCTTTTTAAATCCTTTATATTAAGTTCGCTTGCTTGCTTGCTTGCGTGCTTGCTTGCTTACGACTGTGCAAATCTATCGGTCGTTTTTTAACCCACTTCCCGTGATCCAATCGAGCTGACATTTTGCACACAGACTCGTTGTGCGAGACAATTAATGTTCGTGAAAAAAATTCAAAAATTTTACACTTTTTAGGCAAAAAAAATTATTTTACATTTATTCAAATAGAACTCATTCATGGCTTTGGCTGAACGTCACAGTGTAGGAGCCCAGAGCGTAACCCCTCCACAGGCCGTGGTGGAGTAGCGCAGTTGGTAGCGCCGTTGCTTCCCATGCCAAAGGTCGCGGGATCGATCCCCGCGTCCTCCACAGGCGAATATATTTTTAAATCTTTTATATTAAGTTCGCTTGCTTGCTTAGGACCGTGAAAATCTTTCGCTCGTTTTTTAACCCACTTCCCGTGATCCAATCGAGCTGACATTTTCCACACAGACTCGTTGTGCCAGACAATTATTGATCGTGAAAAAAAATTCCCAAAATTTTACACTTTTTAGGCAAAAAAAATTTATTTTACATATATTCAAATAGAACGCATTCATGGCTTTGGCTGAACGTCAGAGTGTAAGAGCCCAGAGCGTAACACCTCCACAGGCCGTGGCGGAGTAGCGCAGTTGGTAGCGCCCTCGCTTCCCATGCCAAAGGTCGCGGGATTGATCCCCGCGTCCTCCACAGGTGAATATATTTTTTAATCCTTTATATTAAGTTCGCCACCACGCATATAAAGGATTTATAGTGAAAAACTTTGTTTTTACGGGTTTACTTGTTTTAAATCCTTTATATTAAGTTCGCTTGTGTGCTTGCTTGCTTACGACCGTGCAAACCTTTCGGTCATTTTTTAACCCACTTCCCGTGATCCAATCGAGCTGACATTTTGCACACAGACTCGTTGTGCGAGACAATTAATGTTCGTGAAACATTTTTTCAAAAATGTTATACTGTTTAGGGAAAACAAATTAAATATTTAATTACCAATTGTTTAATACTGCAGACAATCATCTGACCCATAGGTGGCAGCCATCTCAAGCCAGAGGACGAGAGGACTCTAGCCGCCACGCATATAAAGGATTTAGAGTGAAAAACTTTGTTTTTACGGGTTATACTTATCCTCAGCTAACTGCACTCGTTGACGGCAGTGACTGCGCCAGGTGGAACAGTCAGCAGCAACAGCTTCAATGAAGGCAGGGTCTATCCCACACCTTTTTGGTGAGGTTTCAACTGATCCTTAAGCCGTTTTTTTGCCCCATCTGCAGAGCGACGGCCCAGTTTTAGCTGTCCGTACCGCATATTTCGCGGCAAGCAGTCCTCCGGCATTCGGATTGCATGGCCGAGCCATCTGAGCTGGTGATGTGTAACGCTCACCTCATTGCTCCTACAGCTGGTTTTCTGTAGAATCATAGAATGTGGAAAACGGTTCTGCCAAGTCACTTTCAAAATTTGTTGGAGGCATTTGCTATGAAACGACTCACGTTGTTTTAGCTGTCGGCTGTAAACTGTCCACGTTTCACATCCATTGAGGAGTGTAGAAACACACATTTCCTGGTATACTGCAACTTTGGTGTGTAGGTGGAGGTAACAGTTGTTGAAAACCCTCCTCCTGAGTCGTCCAAATGAGGATGAGGCCTGCTTGACCTGGTGCTGCATGTCCTGGTCGATGTTGGAGTCTTCTGAGAGGATGCTTCTGAGGTAATTTAAAGTGTGGAACGATGGCAATTGGGAAGTCTGAGATGGAGAATGCTGATGGTTTTGTGTGAGGCTCAGATAATCATTGACATATGACCTCTGTTTTGGTGATATTAACAGATAGCCCCATTCTGCTGTATGCTCTCACAGCTGCCATGAGGGTGGCTTGCAGAGCTTCTAGGGTATGTGCCACAAGAATGCAATCAACCGCATACTGGAGCTCAAGTACAGGTTCAGATTTAAGATTTGTGGCTGCTTGGAGCCTCTTGATGTTGAAGAGGTTCCCATTTAGCCTGAAGTCCAGGGTCACCCCAATCTCCGTTTACATGTCCTTGTGCAGAACTGTTGTGACATATAGGAGGAAGACATTGAATTAGACCGGCACAAGCAAACAACCTTGCCTCACACCAGTGCCTACTCCAAAGGGTTCAGACTCCTGACCTCCAACTGTTACCCTGGTCATCATCCCCTCATGGAATTGATGAAGGAAGTTTTCAAACTTACCAGGGCAGCCATCCTGCAGAAGGACCTTCCATAGCAGTTCACTGTGTGCTGTGTCGAAGACTTTAGAGAGGTCAACAAAAAGCCATGAACAGTTCTTGCTTCGGTTCACAGGACTTTTCCTGCAGTTGGTGTGCAGTGAAGATCATGCCCACCGTGATTTTGTTCTTTCTGAAACTGCACTGGGACTCTTCAGTGATGGTGTCAATGAATCTGCGGAGTATGTCGTTCATCAGGACTTTGCCAGCAATTGCAAGGAGGGATATGCCCTTGCTGTTGCTGCAGATGGCTGTCCCCCTTATTTTTGTATATGGCGACAATGTTTGCATCCTGCCATTGATGGGAGATGCCTTCTTACCTCAATATCTTAGAGATGAATAGGTGAACTGTTTCAGGATCTCAGTAGGAAGGGAATCAGGTCCAGGGGTCTTGTTTTTTCTTAAGTGACGTGATGGCAGCACAAACCTCAGAGTAGGTCGGTCGGAGATCAAGGCTCTAGAGTCTAGATGGTGGGCAGTGTTGGGAGCTCCTCCAGGACTGAGTAGTCAACTGGGTTTGGCTGGCTTAAGAGGACTGCAAAGTGTTCACCCAACCTCTTGGCTATCTTAGTTTTGTCCTTTATGAGAGAGGACCCATCTGCACTTCTGAGGGGACAAAGAGATAAACTTGTTGGGCTGTGGGTGGTCTTCAAGGCATCATAAAAGTTGTGCATGTCATATTTCTCCCCATAAGATTGGATTTCCTGTGCTTTGGAGATACACCACTCATTTTGCAGGTGTTGTAGAGCACTTTGAGCCTTCCTCCTCTGCTCCTGCTATTGCTTTTTTGAGTGACCTCAGAAGTGGGGTTGTTAATTGGGGCTTCATGCACTCTGTGCACGCTGTCAAGTCCTGGTGTTTCTTGATGCTGTAGCCGATGGAGTGAGCTGCTGACGCAGTGATGAACTTAAGGAGGACCATTTGTCGGCAATCAAACCCTCTGCACTCAGGAGAGTCTCAATGCTCCCTAGTTTTGTTTTGCTAGAGAGCAGCATATGCTGTTTCGTGCCTCTGCTTCCTGAAGTCGAGCACAATGCAGCAAATTTCTGGTGGACTTATTGAGGTAGACGGCTATACGAACCTTCATTCTGAGCTTGGCTAAGATCATCCCATGAGCCATGCAGTACTCTGATCCTATTATGGCTCGTGTAATGAGGACGTCCCTGACATCAGAGCGCCTGACAATCATATCATCTATGGGGTGCCAGTGCTTCGACCGTGGGTGCATTCAGGAAGTTTTGTAACTATTTTTCATTTGGAACATGGTATTGGTGATGGTGAATTATTTTTCAGCATGAAGGCTTAACAGTCTCAATCCATTTATATTAGCATAACCGACTTCATGATGTCCCATCACTTCAATCCATATCTAACAATCTCTCCCCACTCTTGCGTTGAAGTCACCCAATAACAGGATTTTATCATGTTTGGGGACTATGCGGATGGCCTCATCCAGCATCTGGTAAAAGCGGTTATTTGCTTCATCTTATGATGGTAAAATCGGTGCATAAGCACTGAAGAGAGTGGCATGCTGCTTTCCAATGAGGGGAATGCGGAGTAATGTCAGCCTTTAGCTTCTGCCAGTTGGTGTTTCTGTTAGATTTGGCAGGAGGCAGTTCTTCGTGGCAATGCCCACACATGCAGATGTTTCCCTTCTGGCCGGGATCCCTTCCAGAAGAATGTGTAGCCCTCTCCTTCCTCCGTGAGCGACCCTTCCCCAGGAGTCTGGTCTCACTCAGAGCAGTGATGTCGATGTTATGTCACTTCAGCTCTGCTGCAGTCCTTCGTTCAGGCCTGTCGGTCCTTATGTTCCATGTTGCAAGTCGTAAAGGGACATATTTCTTGTTTAGTTTTCTACCACTTAATGGAATGTCCTGCTAGCTGCAGCGACCTATCCAGGAGAGTAAGAGTGGGCAATATTTAGGCCACCATTTCTAGGACTTTCCACATCTGGGCTAAGCAGTGTGGCTCCTAAATTGGGCTGCTGAGACATATAGGGGTCTGCCGAGAGCAGCTGCCACTCAAATCTGAGCTGCTGAAAACCAATAGCTCCTTGTGTCGTTATTGGGCAGGGGCCTGGTTAGGAGCTTCCGGATCATTCAGTCCTGCCCCCGTCACCACGCACTCCATCGCCAGTAGACTTTCATGGTGCAGGAAATCGTAGATGGAACTTATAAAGAGCATCTTCTTGGTTCTTTCGGTAAAGTCACGTAGAAGGGAAGTAATAAAATAATAAAAATAAAACATAAAAAAATAATTCTCACGACGTTTCGGCCACAACACAAGCAGCCGTCCTCAGGTGAAGACCAGGTCTGTCGAGGCGACAGCGTCTAAATGAAACACCACCACGCTTGGAGCGTCTATTTAAACTGGGTTGGAAGGGGGGGGGGTAAATGCGCCTTGACAAAATAATCTGCATATCAAGAGGAAATTAGCATATTTATGGGAAATGCAGGAATGCGACTAGTGCTACTTGTGAAATGCGTGGGAGGTGGGCGGGGGGTTTTCAAAGTCATATTATGCCCATGCATTATGCAGGATTAGCAGCATCAAAGGGAGGGGGTAGGGGTAGCATTAATAAAGGGAAGGAATGTTAATAGTATGTAGCTGCAGTAACTAAACAACCACGTAAAAAGCTAAAGTATAAACTACATAGTATCATCAGTATGCTAAATATACTCTCAATAAGCTGAGCTACTAACCGTAAGTAATACATTACAATTCTAGGTCGCAAAAAATATAATAGTATGCTTCCAGCTAAGCTTTTCTAACCTTTTCCTTACATCACACGGGTCTATCCCGTACTATATGCTGCTATAGACAAACCCAACACTAAATTGTATACTGTATTACTATACACTACCCTATGTCTTAGAATAATACATAGTGTAATATTACACTATGTATTATTCTACCCACCCAACTGTAAACCACCCTGCTGTATATTCACTATACAATAACGATACTATATATTACCTTATACATTGTATTAAACATTACACTTTAATACTATTTATTATTATACAATATGCTATACACTATACCATTGACCGTCGCGTGAAAGGTACTAAGAGGAAGCAACGAAATATGTCAATGAGAGAGTGGTGGTAGGAAGCTTGCAGCGGAGCAAAGAATCCATTCCCTGCGGAGAATACAAGATATATAGTCAATGTCAGTGAGTGGAACGCGGTCTGAAAGTCACCGTAAACGTGGACACAATCAGTTAAGATCCGAAATGGTTTATTACGTCCTTCCAATGATTGCTAAGCCGGAATCCATCTTCTCGATTGAAATTGTCTCTGTGTTTGTATATGTGGATCGCCTCATGAACGAATCTCTCATGGTAGCCAGATAGCTTGCAGAGAACCTCTGTCTTGGAAAAGTCAATATCATGTGAACCCACTGAATTGTAACAGTGATCTGCTACGGCTGAGGTGTTTGTCCTACCATGTATCAAGTCTGCTCTATGTTCACGGATGCGGTCCGAGACATGTCGTTTGGTTTCTCCAATGTAACTGCTACCACAGAGGAAACTTCGTTTGTAGACGCCAGGGTACTGTATGTCTGGAACCACATCTTTTACAGACGGGACCAGATCACGGATTGTATGTACTGTGTTGAATCGGACCTGGATCTTGTGTTTAATCAGGATTTTGGAGATCTTTTTTGTGACCCCAGCAATGTAGGGTAAGGTGATAGTCTTGAGAGGCTCCTCAACAGGATCCTTCTTGATGGTTGGAGTGATGGCTTTGCGGATTGTGTAGTCGGAGTAACCATTCGCCTTAAGAGCTTGTCGTACGTGTTTGAGTTCACTGGCAATGTGTTCCTGGTCGAAAATGCATTGGGCTCTATGGTATAGATTATTATTGTATTACTTCCCTTCTACGTGACATTACCGAAAGAACCAAGAAGATTAATCCCTGCTGTCACGAAAGCTTTAAATCGAAATTTATAAAGAGCAGTAACGGATACCTTTGTGCTGAAATTACATAGAGTAACGTGGGGGGTGCGCTTATCCCAACATCACTTCTTCGCTCTGGGAGAATGAACTCCAGTGCAAAGGAGAAATTTCAAGATGACCAGCACCTCCCCACGGCTGCTCCAGTCTATCGGAGAACCGCCTTTCGCGCGCCGCCAGCACGTTGCTTTTCTCTCGGGGTGAGCTCCCCTAGGCTTTGTCTTCCCGGACTTACCCACAAGGCAGTGGGGCAGTGGTTGGCCAAAGCCAGGGAATGTCCATATAACCTGGACCTGCACATCGCACCTCTGGGGACAACGCAGCTCAGAAGGGGACCTTTATTTGTCTGGAAACTCTCCCTTGACCTGTTCACCAAGGGAGACCGTAACCAAGAGTATAAGACTCCAGGCGACATAGCTCTGAAGGTTATTGTAACACACAAAGCCACCACTATGAGGTTATGATCCTTCGGTGTGAACTATACACTACACTACTATACATTACTATACACTACTATACTAAATTGATAACTAATTTATTTACAACTGCTTGTTGTTGTTTTGTTTGTTGTCCTTCCCCCGCACCTCCAATGAGCATGATTGGCTACGTACGGTAGTGCAAAAAGAAGTTCAACATGCATACATACATACATACGGAGTCGCTTTAATACCTGCCTCTTATTTCATTGTGTGTTGTGCACGTTATCACCGCGAGACAAACAGCATGCAGTTAACAGGGGCACCGCGTTAACACTGGCTGTGTATTAATAAGGGCATCACGTAAACATGGGCACGTTAACATCTCGCCGCCACTGTGACGCTCGGGTCGGGGTTGAACCCACGCCCTCCTGCATACCAGGCGAGGTAGTTAACATCTCCTAGCCACCGTGGCACCCATTGAACTAGTAGATAAATTAATTATCATTAAATGTGTTGATTGTGAGGTTGCGATTATTTTTGACACAGACATGGATGATGCAAATGTTCCACATAAGGAGGGAATACAGTACACACTCTCAAAACTTGATATCCACTTTTAAAGAAATGCAAAAATCCCTCTTCTATGGGACACACAAAGGTAACACAGCAAAGTTTTTTCTCAAGAAAAAGCGGAAATATATATATTTTAAATTCCAACAAATATTAAAAATAGTCTGTTTATCCGCAGCTCCCAGGGGCTCGATGTGTCACAGAAGTGCTCACCATCCACCGCTGTCAGAAGCAAATCTCCGATACTCCGTCAATTCAAGAGATTGAAATACGTATGGACTGCGATTAATTGGATAATCATCCATACAAATAGACCAGCTCCCAAGGATACGTATATATATATATACACCAGCTCCCACCTACCGCTTGCACGGCCATCTGTCGTCACTGTAGTTGTCGTTGTTGTGGTGGCTGTTGTGGTTGTGGCTGAAGTGGTCTTGCCTGTGAAACGAAATCATTACGTGAGGCAAATCTCCGAAGATGACGACACCAAACTACTTTCGAGGTTACCGACGCAGCCCTCTTCATCTACCCTGGGCTGATACTCCACGCAGAAGTGCATCATTCATGCTACGCGGTGACAAGTGGTGCGCTGTCCATGCTGGAATGCAGCCAAATGAGGTGACGCGTCTTTTTTAAATTGCGATGGGAGTTGTGCACTTGTCTGTGGTCCGCACTGATATGATCGGCTCACCGCCCTTGAGAATGCACTTAAAACGCAGATGGGTCGATGAGTGCACGCGCATGTGTGCATTTTTCTACATGCGAGATGAAAAATATCCAATTGGATCTATGTGATGTTAGACAGATTAATATAGCGCCTTAGTGCAAGGCGCTTTGCAACAACTACACAATTAACAGTGGTGCAGATAATAAACTGTTGGGGTTGTTATTATAAGTGGTGGCATAGTTATGGCGGTGGGAGAGGTTAAGGATGGGTAGGGGTAGTGATAGGGATTAGGGTAGTGATATGGGTAGGGGTCGTGATAAGGGGAGTGATAGGGGTTGGGGTAGTGATTGTGATAAGGGTAGTGAAATGGGTAGTGATAGGGGTAATGATAGGTGTAGCGATTGGGGTAGTGATAGGTGTAGTGATAGGGGTAGTGAAAGGGGTTGTGATAGGTGTAGTGATAGGGGCAGTGATTGGGGTAGTGATAGGGGATAGGGTAGTGATAGGGGTAGTGATTGAGCTTGTAAATGTTTCAAAGCAGAGACCCCATAGAGTAGAGTTGCAGTAATGGAGCATTGTGGATATACGACTATGTTACGTTTGTGCAATTTAGCAGAAGAAGCGAAGCGGAGGCGGTGTTGGTGTGAATAATCGATGTCTGTAATGGACTCTTTCCGTTTTTCTTCCCCTCTGCGTTTAGAATCAACATCATGCATTTACATTTGGCTGCGCCTATCAGAATCTCTACTTAGACTGCAGCAGGAGAAATCCTATGAGCTACAAAGCTCTTCATCACAGATGTCCAGTATCGGCACTGGATCAGCAAAGTTACAACAGCAAACACAATAGACAAACAACTAACGATAAGAGTGTAACATAGAGAGAGCATGGTAGGTACTATGAATTCCCACGTGATAAGCCACTTCTTTGAGCTGTCATTTGTGATAGTCAGGTTGCTTCTTAAAGAGAGCTACGTAGCTCAGTGGGCCATACCCTGGTTAGATAAAAAGTAAACCCGTAAAAACAAAGTTTTTCACTATAAATCCTTTATATGCGTGGCGGCTAGAGTCTTCTCGTCCTCTGGCTTGAGATGGCTGCCACCTATGGGTCAGATGATTGTCTGCCACCATTAAGAAATTGGTAATTAAATATTTAATTTGTTTTCCCTAAACAGTGTAAAACTTTGGGAATTTTTTTTCACGAACATTAATTGTCTCGCACAACGAGTCTGTGTGGAAAATGTCAGCTCGATTGGATCACGGGAAGTGGGTTAAAAAACGACCGAAAGATTTGCACGGTCGTAAGCAAGCAATCAAGCACGCACGCAAGCAAGCACGCAATCAAGCAAGCAAGCGAACTTAATATAAAGGATTTAAAAATAGTGAAATAAAATGCCACGGGTTCTCTCTGGGTTACTGAGCATTCTGCATGTATGAATTAAATGTTCACGCAACTCACGTTTGGTGACCTCCATCGTCACGGTGTCCACGCTGTTCCAGTACACGTATCCGTGAGTCCAAAAATGCCTGCACTCGTAAACTCCGCTATCGCTAGGGCTGACGTCGGTAAGGATGAGCGATGCATCGTGAGGTTGCGACCAAGCCAGGCGGGCCCGGCCCCGGTATGCCGCTTGGGTGACAACTCTCTTCGTCCGATCCCGCTTCAGTATTTGCTTTGAGTCAAATCGGGCCGTGATCTTGAACCACATTATTATTTGGAAGATGCAGAGCGGAGAGCGGGCATGGCACGGCAGGATCACGGTCTCGCCCGCAATCGAGCGGAGCGGAGCAGTCTTCTGGCTCTGAATATCACAACCTGAGACAGAAACAAAGACCCCACCCCTGTGTAGCCAGCAACAGACTGTTGGGGCAGTGCTGTTCGTAGCGAATAGTAGCAGCACCTATGAATGCCAGCACTATGGCACACGAGGGGGTTGGTGGCCAGCAACACGGCCGGCCAATTTTAACTCATTTGAGGCTGAGTCGACCTGCGGGAGACCTAGGACCAGTACAGATAATCGCTATCATCGGCGTTGGTGACCGTGAGTGGGAATCAATCCCGAGTTTCCGGTAGCGCAGTGTGCTAACCGCTACACTACCACTCCCCACACCTTCACCTACTCACTCACAAATTACTCACCCACCCATTCACTCACTCACCGACCAACTCACTCAGCCACCAACGAACCCATTGACCAATCTACCCACCCACACCCTAAGTCAGTCACTCACTCACTCCTTCACGCACTGACTGATCCACCCCACCATTAACTTATTTAAAAACACACTCACTCACTCACCCTCCACTCATTACCATCACCGGCAGGGTAAGTTATAACATCATCTGCTATTACCACCGCGCACTTTTCACTTGCCCACCGCATATTTATTTCCTCCAGTCACCCGAGGTGTGGGGGAAGGAGTCAACGGAGCTGATGTACAGTGTACACATTTGAGGCTGAGTCGACCTGCGGGAGGCCCAGGACCGGTTCAGATAATCGTCACTAAAAGTGTTGGCCGTGAGCAGGAATCGAACTCGGGTCTCTGCCGTGTTCGTAGTGCAGCGTAGCGCTAGCCACTGCGCTACTGCTCCCCACTCAACAACAGCAACCGCAATTCGCCACTAAGTGGCGGTGACGTCACCACGACGCTTGTGCCAGGCCATGTGCACCTTGAGGCCACGTGAAGTGTCGAACGCCCGCTGGCAGGAGGTCACGGGGCAGACCCAGTTGCCACGGGTCGACTGACCGAGATGACCGAGATGACTGGCTGATGCACCACCTGTGCCCCCTACTGTACCAACTCGCTGTGCTTTAGCCACCCGGCGCTCCGCTCGTTGTTGTGAGCGTCGCTCCTCCGCCCTCCGTTGTTGTTGGAGGGCGACTGCCTCCAACTGCCCAGTAGCGTCCTTCACGAGCCTCCTCCACAGAGGCCGATCTTGACACCGCTAGCATCAGTCATCGACAAGTCCACTCAGCTCCACGTCCTCCTGTACCACATCACTCCATCTCTTCTCTAGCCCGTGCCGCGCCCGTTTAGCCCCCTCGATCCGGCCGAACAAAAGCTATTTAGGCATGCGGTGGCTGGGCATGCGGGCTACATGACTGAGCCAACGCAGCCTTGCCTGCTGGAGGAGCTCACCGATGGGACTTTGGCCAGATCTTTCAAGGATATGTGTGCTCCTCACACAACCCAGGATGGATCGTAAGCAGGCCAGCCTAAATGTTTCCAACCAGCGAAGATGCTCCATTAGGGGGTCCACGTTTCGCAAGCGTAGAGAAGGGAGTGAATGACCGTGGCCGAGAAGACCTGAAGCTTCGTGCGGAGCGACAGACCAGGTAGCTTCCACACAGCGTTACGCAACCGATGAAAAGATATTGCCGCTCGACTGATTCGGAGTGAGACCTCTGCTATTAAACTGGAGCCGGTCATAAGTACACTGCCCAGGTATGGGAAACTCTCCACTCTCTCCACAACTGCCCCATCACCGATTGGGAGTTGTAGGGGTGGAGTGTCCGATGGTACAAAATACCCAGGCAGCTGCTTAGTTTTGGTAGGGCTGATGGTCGGGCCCCACCTCTTAGTGGTCGAGGCCTATGATACCATCAGTAGGCCTGGGCTCTGGATTGTTCTTCGTGCTTTCGGAGTCCCTGACCCTCTGCTCACGAACATTAAGGACCTTCATGATGGTGAGCGGGCCCGGGTAAAACTATGTGGCCGGGAGTCAGAGCCTTCCCTGTACACCTTGGGGTGCGACAGGGATGTCCTCTGGCTCCCACATTATTTAACATCTATTTTGATCGCGTAGTTCGTGAAGCCTTCAATAGCTGTATTGGGGAAATTTCCATTTGGTACAGATATAATGTGAGGCTGATCGACGCCCGGGTGCGATCAAGGGATGGCTCCCTATTGGTCAACCACGTTATGTATGCCGATGATTTGGTAATAGCTGCTCATTCAGAAGAAGAGTTGGAGACGCTGCTGCTGATACGAGCTCCCCACTCACACACTTGCACACACTCACACGTACGCAGGCAAGCTCACACAAAATCAGATCCAACCCCAGCAAGAAGGATTCAAGAAATGGGAAAAAACCCTAAAGTGAGTTACGTCTTTAGGTGGGATGTGAATAAAACGAGGAGGGAGAGAAAGTCAACGGAGCGGACGTCCAGCGGACATCAATTTCCACAGCCTGCGGGCCACGTGAGGAAAGTCGCAGTCACTAGCGCTGTGCTCATGACCACTATGCTAACCAACACTGGGAGAATACAGATGCACGCACGCTTTGCCCGACAAGCGAGAGATATTCGAAGTGCGAGGACGATGAGATGTTTCGCCTTCGGTTCATTCCATTATAATGGCGCATGTTGTTTGCTCAACGCAATATTGGCTATACAATGCAATATTGGCTATACAACGCGATATTGGATTTATGAGATATTGCATATACAACGCGCTATTGGCTATACAACGCGACATTGGCTACACAATGCGATATTGGCTATACAACACGATATTGGCTATGAAAGGCGATATTGGCTATACACCGCGATATTGGATCTACAGCGCGATATTAGATATACAACACGATATTGCATATTCGAGAAATTGCATATACAACGCGATATTGGATACACAACAAAATATTGGATATATCTAATAAGATAGATGCGAATTAGATATATAACGCGATCGAGTGAATGGAGCTACGTCGCACCAGGAGGAACAAGTGGCCGTATGACTGGCTCAGAGTAGCAGCATCATCATCACACAAAGCAATGGGATGCTACCCACCACGCACCTCAGTCATTGTTCAGCTTGGGTTACGCATTTTACACGTTATCGCGGACTGCTTTACCCCCATACTATATATTATTTTACATAACGCGATTTTTCCATAGCGTGGTGTTCTTCAAGGGAACGTCAACTACTACTTCTACTGCCACGTTACAGGAGAACAACAGGCTGTACCCAGGAGGATTTTATGGAAGGGTATTGTCTTTTGATGACTTCCACTGTGGTTTTTCTATTTGTAGTGGCATAGCGCTGGCTGCTGGCGAAAAAGGGGATTTGCGGTGCACAGCAGTACTGACGCCAGAAGGCCATGAGAGACACGAGAGGGGGGCATCTAGGGCAGACCGAGGCCACGCTGACAGTATAAGAGGGGCCCGTGTGGGGGACCTCGTGGCTATTGCTGGAAGTGGGATCTCCGTCGTGCTGCTAAAGGTCATCATCACCATTCTTCTCGTCGTCGTCTCCGTCTTCACCATCCCGGGGGCGACACTAGACAGACAGCCTACCAACTGTTCTGATGGTCATAATATTAAGTGGGGTGCTCAGGAAATAAATAAGTGCCTCTTAGTCTTATTGTCTCTGAGTTAGTCACTACATATGTAAGAGGCTACTGTGTACCCTGCACCCCCAGCCTTAGCGGTTAGCCCGAGTGAGGCACTGTGACATTCCCTCGTTATTCACGACTAGGGACACGTTCCGCACACACTCGTGAATAGCGAATACCGATGTTTTCCTATGAAACCCCATCTTTTTAAATGAATTACATTAAATTACCTTTAAAAAATACTTTAAAATTATCATCAAAAACACTAAATAACAATTGGTTGAAATAAACATAACGTAAATGAAAATAAATATTCAAGGATTAAATAATGGTACTGCATTTCAATGGACTATCCATGTTTTCGCTTTAGGGTTTTACAGAGTTTTCTGGAAAGTTAAACATGTTTGGATTGAAAATAAAAACGACTACATTCGTCAAGCAGCGTGCATTTTTCAGAATTTAATTTCCACTACTTTGGTCCCATTTTGCCACGCTTAAATTGGGGACTCTTAACAATTGGTTTTCTACTATTTTAGTTGGCGTGGTGCCTCAACGGACCCCCTGACAGGGTTAGAAAGGTTGGGGTCTCCTGAACGATGGACCCTGAGGAGCTCCACATGTCAGCCGAGCGACATCCTCTACAAATTAAAAAGCCTCTACAAACTCGCCCTGACCAGCGTGATGAAGGCTGGAAGCAATATCCTTCAGCAATCAAAATGTTTATTCATACCGGAGGAATCCGATGAGCCTTATAACTCTTTGTCGATCCTGACCCTGATATTTGGAGTTTGTGTGTGTGTGTCTCTCTCTCCATGGTTGCGTGGATTTTTTTTCTCTCCAGGTCTTCCAGTTTTTCCCTCCACATCAACATCCCACGTTGAGATTATTTGGCTGCTATGCATTTCCACACAATAAGCCACTAAGCTGAGCTGCTCTAATTTGTGGACAGGTCTCTTCTGAAAAAAAAGCTAATAGCTCTGTGGGCTTCACCTGCTAATTATTACATTGTTTAGTTTAATAGGTTATATAATCGTTATTCTGCAGGAGGAAACCAAAGAGCGATAAAGCTCTTTTTCACAGATGTCCAGTAGGGCCACGGGGTAATCAGATCGTTACAACAAACAATACAAAAACACAATCGGAGTGGAAAGTATATGATAGGTAAACAAATCACTTAAAATTTTGAAATAAAACTAACAATTGTTTTTAAATCTTAACAGGTAAAGCCCACTGAGCTTTGAGCTTCTCTTTCTTCTCTTTCAGAAGTGACCTGGCCACAAATTACAGATAATAAATTATCATCATCACGTGGAAATGTATTCGCATGAATCTACCTCAAAGCGTGATGTCGATTCTAAATGTGGAGAAAATAACCTGAGGAATCGGAGAAAAATTCACGCGACCACGAGGAGAGAGAGAGACTCCCAATATAGTGCAGTCGGAAAATAAACAACTACAGAAAATCCCTCGCCATCTGC